TGTCCCCTCCTGGAGACTCAGAAACACACTTGGATCCCCAGACAGCCTACCGAACAAGGCTCAGTTCACCTTGACTAAATCTCACTGACCAGCTACTGCCTTCTGCAGCTGCTGGATGAGCAGGACGTAGTTCTGGAAACCCCTTCTCTAGGTAGCCACTGTGTACAGGCTTCTGGGAACTTACAAACTTGGGAGAAAATGAATGGGCTGACGGCAAAGGCAGTATAGAAACACTGGCAGCTGAGCAGGGAACAATTGTCGACGCTAAATGTGAAATGGCAGGTAAGATCAAACCATCCCTATTCCCCCAACTCCTCATTTACCAGCAAAGCTGTCAGCTGGCAAAGGGTAAATCTTGGTTTACGCCTCCCCCGTGTACAGACTCCTTTGTGTCTTTCCAACACAAAGAATTTGAAGTAGAGCTGGGATGCATCCGCTCCTAATCTTCTCCCAGGGCCCTCAGCACACCTAAGGAACCCGATTTCATTGGGGGAGTGTCGTGAATCATCACCCTCCTATTTGATGGCTCCATCCCCATTTTTTTTTCCTGTTTACAGATGGATCTCCAGATCCTTTTATGGAGCAGCCTGGGGGAGGGATTCCCAGGCTACCTGTGGGGTTTCCTCTTTACAAAGCTTACATGAAACATCCTGCCTTCCTGGCCTCGGCCTGAAATCACAATCACCTTCTTCAGAAGCAAGTCAGATTCCAGAGGCTCTGGGGGTGTGAGCATGATTAGAAAGAACGCAGAGAAATCGATTGGCACTCTTTGGCTGCAGGGGCATCTGAAACGTGGGCCAGGGTGGGGGGAGAAGGAGGGGAGGAAGGAGGGGAGGCAGAATCAAAAGGGGGAACTGTTTCTTTTTATGATGACAATGAAGCCAAGGAGGCAGATGTGAAAGAAGAGTATCCTTCAAATTGCAGGAAGTCAATGTCTAAACCCAGGGAAGCAGGTGCCCTCAGGCAGGGAGGAGCCTGTACTTCACCACAGGCCCAGCAGGGCAGCTCTGAGGAGCAACAATTAGGCCACACGTTAATTACGGAATTAAATATGTGTTAATCACCAAATACTTGACAATTTGTGTTTTAAGGAGCCATAATTAACCTGCAATTAGCCGTATTCCTCGCAGGTTACCATTGTGAGTGTACCTGCACAGTACTCTCCCATAAATAGTAAGTGCCACACAAAAGAACTGCTGCAGAGAAAGGTATAACCCTGAGAAAACATGTTTCAAAACTCCGTAACTGTCCAATAAAGGCCATATTAGACGGCAATATCCAAGTCTGCCTTCCCAAAGTGTGTTTGTCTTTAATCACGCATCATGATATTAAATAGGAAGTCCTTTTGAACAGTTCTTTTATCCATCTAAACTCATATTTACTATGGCCTGGGGGTGTAGCCTGTTGGGAAAGTGCATGGCTAGCCTGCACCAGATCCTGGGTACACTCCACAACACCACAATACAAACATATAAAACACGAATCCTCATTTGACTGGGATCAGAACTGTCCAAGAAATTATCAGTGAATGTATCTTCACACTATTTCACAAGTACACAAGTCTTATGTTACTTTGGGTGTTCTGAATAACCACTGCGGTTCCTGTTAGAATGCAGAAGTGTATTGAGGGAGAGCTGACCTGCCTTCTTGGCAGAGGCGTTCAAGAGCACTGTCTCCTTTAAATGCTCAGGTCCTCAGCTTTCGGGCTCAGAGGTAACAGCTGAGAATGCATCACGTGGATGTCATTTCTCATGCACTGGGTGCCCCCAAGAAAATATAATGTGTATGCACAATACCACAGCTTCAACAATATTTTGAAATTAGAATTATTAATCATCATAAATCAGGTTCATATCTTCTGCCCAGTATAGAGCTCTATGAAGAGAAAACTACATGGGATTTTTCATGCAATGCTGATGACTCCCCCCCCCCACACACACACTATTCATATTTGTAAGAGCATCAGAAGACAATACATCTCTCCTATTCCTGCTGTTCTACAGCTCACAGAAGCCCCACCTCTTGTCTGCACTGGCTGCCGTTGACCTGTCTCTTATCTATCTGACCACCACTTCGGAGGACACCTTGGGTGAGGAAATAGGAAGGAGGTTATGCCCAGCGGTGGTTTCCCTTTGTTTCATCTCGGTTATACATCCATCTCTCTTCTTGCAAGTGGACCAGATAATTCAAGTCTCTATGGTGGCTTTAAGGCTGATGGTTCCGTGTCTAGTTATATTGTGTGCAGAGTTCTCCTGTATCATTTGGGATGTGCTATTGATTCAACAGTGTATGTTGACATTAGGGCACTGGCTTTGGATGTTTACTGTCCCTCAGCAGAAAAGGGGAAACTGTGAGGGAATGTTAGCTCCACATGCCTTTGAGAGGCCAAATGTTAATGTATTAAAGAATTGCTAGAAATCCTTTTAAAAGCTTAAAGGATGACACGATGCTTAATGAAGCAGTCAATGTAACGGTGAAACACTAATGTCCAAAGTGCTAGTATCAGAAGGTCAGGCCTTTGTGAAGGGATCAGGTTGTGAGGATGGTGTCCCCATGATGGAATTAGTGCCCTGAGGAGAAGAGGCATCTGACCTCGGATTCCCGGACTTGCAAAAGTCAGTGTCTGAGTTTAGGCCACCCCATTGATGGTCATGTGTTATTGCGGCTCAGTAGAATGAAACAGTAGCAAAGCAATGGCTTGTACAAACCCTAAAGCTATGCACCCTTTAATAATGTAAGTGATAGAGGGAGAATGGAGGGCTTTGGAGTTTGGATTGGGTCCATAATTGGGAAGGCAAAGTATTTTACCAGTAGTTGCTCAAGAAAATAACAATGCATTGAAAATGACAATAGCCTGATAAATAGAACCATCCTATTGCAATGTGGCTGAGTAATCCCTTTGATAAGCCTGGTATCCTAAGATTGGGCATAAACTAAGCCATTTATTGAATATGCATAGCTCTTTATCAAGGTATAAAAAAGATAAAACAGAAATTCTAACCTTGATTGTAGTCAACATCATACCAAACCATGATGAAAGGTCCTATGAGAACCTACTCTATGATTTAGGAGGGGAGAGATCAGGCCAAAGTAAAAGAGATGGGTAGGATACATGCTGACTGGTGTAGTGTGTCCCACTGGCCAGAGATGAGCCTGAGTGGACTCCAAAGGAAGGAGGAAGCAAGCCCAGGAAAGCCTTTCCTGCTCTGAGAAGGACCCACCACCACACAATACCCAGAGACATTAGTCATCCAACATGGGAACATCCTGCACCCTTGCCCAGCCAACCCACTGCCTCTACTTGTTGTTTAAACTCAGAGGGGAGGAAACCCTGCCACAAAGGTCACATTTTTACATTATATCACTAACTGGCCACTAGTCCATTTATATTAAAACAAGGTATTTATTAAATAGGATTATTTTCCTTCTTGAGGGAAAAACTAGTTTTTTAGAAGTAAAAATAATGCAAATGGAGAAAATTTATAATATAATAATACAAAAAGGAGAAAAATCACTTTGTTATCTCATTAGCTAGGGAGATGTCACATTTTATGCACTTGTTTTATAATGTATTTGGTCTTTATTAGATACTTTTAATATAAGAATAAAATTAAATACACTACTTTATACCTATTTTATTAATTGGCCAGCAGAAGTTTAAATACATCACTTAATAATCTTCTTTAACTTTTTTCTTTTAGAAAATTTTATGTATAAGAGCTATTTGTCTGAATGCATGTATGCATGCCCCAAGAGTGCCTGGTCCTCATGGAGGTTAGAAGAGTGTGTCAGATCCCCTGGGACTGGGTAAAGGATGCCTGGTATGGACAGCACAGGCTCAGTCTTCTGCCAGACCAGCTCTCCTCTGCTGAGCCAGATGCTCCAGACCACAACATTATTTTCATTGGTTCCTAAACAAACTTTTGTGTTGAGGCAGTACAAATTAACACACCTACTATTGCTGGAAACAACACTGCTTCTGATTTTGCAGTTTTATAAAGGAGCTACTGTATATATTCTTGTTCTTATGGTTGATTATTTGTAACCACTCTCTGTTGTGTCTTTAGGGTAAATTTCTAATAGTAGCTAAATTTAGGTGCAATAAATTTAAAATGTACGGCCCAAAGTATAATCTAAAAAGAGGTTAAACATGCACCTGTGGGATAACAGTGCCTTCTCCACTTTTTAATTTCCACTCAACAAACATTTATCATTCATTAAATGTCAGGTATTATTTCAGGCACTTGGGTACAAAGAGGAGTTGAGCAAGGAATTTATAACCAGCCCATTTATTACCATTGTCAGCTGTGGGTAGAGAAGCTGGGCTTGAAGGATCTTGACTGTCAAAAACAAAAACCTTCATGCTTGTGGTGGTTTGAATGATAACGGCCCCAAGAGGTTCATATGTTTGAACACTTAACCCTCATCTGTAGAACTGTTTGGTAAGGATAAAGAGGTGTGGTCTTATTGGAGGAGGTGTGGCCTTATTGGGGGAGATGTGTCACTGAGGGCAGGCTTTGAGATTTCAAAACAATCATGCCATCCCCAGTGTCTTGCTTTCTGACTCCTGGTTCTGTCTCAAGATGTAAGCTCTTAGCTACTGCCCCAGTACCATGCCTGCCTGCCTGCCACGATCCTTCCTGCCATGGCAGTCATGGACTCACCCTGTGAAATTATAAGCCCCACATAAACTCTTTCTTCAATAGGTTGCTTTCATCATGTCATCTATGACAACCACAGAAAAGTAACTAAGACAGTAAGTTACTGCTTTTTTCTTAAAACAATATAAGCCTGGATAAACGGATTCGAATTATGTTTTTTTTGTTTGTTGTTGTTCATATAACCATAAGACTTAAAAGATAGCCTGGGTCAAACTTACTATGGTATTAAAAAACAAAACAACTTCCTACACATTCTTTGATGATACTAATATAAACATAACTTACAATCATAGAAATGAGAAGATGATTTAAGACATGAAATGGCAAGACAATGCATACCTGGTAATAGTTGGGCCAGAAGGTGCTGATGGCCAGTTCCGCCCTGTGCCATGTGCGGGTGGGGTCTCCAGACATATTCCAGATAGGGTTCCCCAATGGCCCACTATTCACCTTCACATAGACACTGAGTGACCCAGGAGCAGAGTTACTCTTGCTGGATACAAAGTAGTGAAAATCGATGCAGTGGGTGTCATTTTCCTTAAGCTGAGGCAAGAGTAGGTGAGCCCTCTGGCCCTCAGGTTTCCCAGAAGCATTCACCAGCATGAAGGAGCCTGTGGAAACAAAATCAGCGTGTCACAAACCAAAAGTCTCTGGAAATCCACTAGCATTTACATAAATTGGCAATGTAATTATACATATTTCACTTCAGTTTAAAATAGAGAGAAGGTGTGCCTTTCTGTATAGCACAGGTTAGCCTTAAACCCATGAACCTCCTGCCTCAGTCTTGTGAGTGTGGGGACTATAGGTATATGCCACTTTAACTGGTGTGCTTAAAACTCCAATTCCTTTCATACCTATTTGGTTTGTTATCTTCTGCTTCTACCAACCCTTAACACGTTAACAAAGTCAACAAAGAAAACTACCCTGGAGATTACTTCAATGAGCCTGCTAGATAACAAGCATATTATAGACCATTCATAGACCTGCTGGGGTCAATCTGGTAGCCACTGGCCACTTGCAGTTATTTACCTTCAATTCAATTAAAAGCTCTCACTATTCTCATTCAGCTCCTCAGTCCCAGCAGCCACATCCCAAGCGTCCTATGGCTACATATAACTACTTGCCACTCCACTGGGTGATTTAGACACAACACCATCTCATTTTCTTCAGAAGTTGCACAGGGCAGTCCTAACCTATTTGTACCACTATTTGTCAACCATGGTCACTTTAACACAGCAGACCAATCCATAAACAAACATACAGGACACCAGAAAAGATGTCTACATGCTGTGATTCCTAGAACCAAACAAGACGACTCACTTTAACAGAACATTGAAAGGGCCAAGTGATACAGCATCACATCACAGTGCGTGTGTTCACCATTGTTAGTGTCTTAGACCTCCATAGGGTGTCAACTAGCTTTAATCCTAGTGTAAGATGGATTAAGGTCTCAGTTCTGGCAGCATTTTATTCACATGCTAGGATGAGTGAAAGGCAAAATCAGAAGTGTGAGTCTCCAAATTTGCAATCCACCACTCCAATAACCCATAGGCCACCCGACCAAAAAAACCCACCAAAAACCTGGAAGGGGGTAACAGCAGCTATTTTAAATGAGAGTAAATTTCAAGGGATGGAGCTCACATCTATCAGAGAAGGGCTATGTTTGGAATACATTTTAAACTATGGAGGAACCTCAAGTATGATTTAGGAAAGACTAGAAAGTAAGAAAAGGTGGCACATGCCTCTGGTCCCAGCTACTCGGGAAGCCTCAGGCAGTAGAATTGCTTGAGACTAAATAAGACCTTGAAACAAGCCAGAGCAACGTAGCAAGCTGGTATTGTTGTAGATTATTATTTTGAGGTGTGTCACTTTTGCTTATGTTGCATTTCTTTAACTCTGTGAGGCTGTGTTACTGTGCCTGTCTAAAACACCTGATAGTCTAATAAAGAACCGGCCAATAGCAAGGCAGGAGAAAGGATAGGTGGGGCTGGCGGGCAGAGAGAATATACAGTAGGAGAAATCTGGGAGGAGATCTAGAAGGAACCAGACAAGGAGGAGGACTCCAGGGGCCAGCCACCCAGCTATACAAAACCAGCAAGTCACAGATTAAGAGTAAGATTTATGGAAGTAAGAGAATGGGAAAAGCCCAGAGGCAGAAGGTAGACAGGGATAATTTAAGATAAGGAAAGCTGGCTAGAAACTAAGCCACACAAAGGCTGGGCATTCATAAGTAAGAAAAAGCCTCTGTGTCTTTATTTTGTAGCAGCACCCCCCCCAAAAGGAGTAAAAAACCCCAACAGCATGGTATCTCTAAAGAGAAAGCAAAGGAAAAGAAAATGAACACTGTGTGTATGTGTGTGTGACAATAATTAAGGAAGAAACATTAATAAATTTGAGAGGGAGCAGGTGGGATATGAGAGGAGATGGAGGAAGGAAAGAGGGACAGAGGTGTTATAAATAATGTGCTCATGTATGAAACTCTTAAACAAATTTTTTAAACCTATCACTATAAAAGCAGCATGGAGAAACTTGATGTTGTCTAGCTCCCTTGTGCTTATGGCGAGAATGACTGCCCCCCACCAGGTAATACACGCTGTGTCACCGTACATAGTACCTGCCTGCTTGTCATTCTGTAGCTGTCTGGATCATCAGGCTACCCACAGAAATCACCACAGTGCTTGTATATCGGGTTGGGAAATATCCAAGATTCCAAGTATCCGTACTCACTGTGGCTGTTGGAACATATCTCTGTCATGAGCAGGGCATTACTGTACTTAAGTGATTCTAACGTTCATAGTCCTTTCTCCTCTTTATCCCTGTTTCAGTCAGAATATGGCCTGCTTCTGAAAAACGGATTTGAATAGTGACACCCTAATATACCACACACAACACCTCCAGTTCCTGTCTTTTTTTCTTTTCTTTGAGGACGTCAATACTCTGATGTGAGTAGGAGCAAATTTCTCAACTGGATGCAAAGCTGAAGCAATGTGTGGTATCATCAAATCTAACAGTCCTGCAGAAAGGCCACATCTCTGTAGGAGGAATAGGGCCAAACTTCACGGTGTCGGGAGACATCCCTGCTACTTGGTTAATCTGTCCTGGAAACTTTTAAGAACAGAGTAAGGGACTGAGCAGTTTCCTGCTCCCTTCCTGTATGACTACAGAGGAAGGCAAACCAACCCTTTGTCATATCTCTGGTCGGCAGGAAGAATTCACCATTTGAAGAGACAAGTTCATGGTCCTTCAACAACAGAGGGAGTGAGCTGCAGCCCTAGAGTTTACAGTGGAGGGGAGCCTGGATTCTGTACCAGGCAGGCCACTGCATTTATCTGGCTACAAAGCTGCACAGGTTTGGGGTGATGTCTCAGCCCTGTTTCTACACGGAGTTATGCAGAAGCAGCAGCACGTATTTCGAGCATCATGCACGGCATTGGGAAATCATCAGGATGCACAGCCATCCTCTTTACCTTGCCCTGACTCTCAGGGCACACTCATGTTCCCACTCACCCCACAGTCATGGGTAAACTGTTCTTATTCTGTAGAGTCTAGTCACAAAGCAGTCCACTGACATGAACACCCGAAACTTTTGAAAAAGAAAGTCCGGGTAAGAGCATCTTGGGGGGGGCCTCATCTTCTCCCTGCAGCTCCTATAACTCAGGACAGAGCTTGCCACAGAAGTTCAACACCCTGGTAACACAACTGTTGTGGCTTTGTTTCCCTGGCCCCCCTATTCACATGGCTCCACAGAGTATCTGCCGTTCCCTGCCATTCATCTCTGTCTGCTTTTCCTCCTCCTAGGCTTATCCCAACTCACCGAAACTGTAACTTGTAAATCTTCTCTTGTTGCTAGAGAAATACTGATGCTGAGACATTACAACTCAGTTGGTTTTACCCTTATGTTCTGGGGTGGGGGGGAAGGGCATCTTCATGTTCAGAGTGTGGCCATCAGGACTTCCAAGTATGAAAGGTGACCTTTACATCTGCATGTGTGTTTCCTGACAACAACACATCCCAGACAGCCGGTGAGTTTCTAGAAACCAGGGGGAGCATTTGTGTGCTGCAAAGTCTAGCAGCCCAAAGCCTGAGGGAAAGTCATGGCTGTGTACACAGGAATCCCAGGTGGGAGGAAGAGATGCTTTTCAATTGTTTGAATGTATCACCTATCTGCTATCAAAGCAAAGTCAACTCACCAACCAATGTTTAAAGAACTAAAGCAGTCAATTCTAGACTATTATATCTGGTTTTTTCTTTTTTTAAATAACACTATATCCTGAATGTTTAATTTCTACTTCTGCTTCAGTGTTTTGACTCACAGGAGATGTGTTTGCAAAGGGTAATTGGGTCTCCCTCTGTAGTCCCCTCAACTTGCCTTCCCCCACAAAAGGCACTCCAACTGGGCAAATCACAAATAAAGGCAATCATAATTCATATTACCATGGAAATTCTGTTTGTGTTCAGATAACAAAACACCCTTAAGTCATGAGGATATAGCAAAAGATGTGTCACCACAGACAAATTAAGGACACTCAAGGGAGTCAGTTTCGAAAACGGAGCAGTATGTAGTTGCAGACATGGAAGGATTGTAGGAATGAAAGCCCTCTTCTGAGAGCATGCAATGTTCCCATTCTTGAATCTTTGGGTGAATTAAATTTAGCTTAATCATATCCATTGGCAAACGGTCCTGATTAGACTGTCTTCCGTCATTGTTTGTGACAGCGGTAATAACTGCACAGGAGGAGTTGTCCCTCTCTACCCCATCATTAAAATTTGCATTGGTGTGGAGGAAACTCGAGATAGAAAACAAAGCTCAGCAAACTGAAAAGTCTCATCTGCCAGCAGAGAAACCATTCAAGTTACAAAAGAGAGGCTGTTCTCCGTGGCTCATCCCGTGCTACGCAGTGCGTAGGCTGACAAAGAGGCAGCCATTATGAAGCCCACCTTCTGAAGCCTTTTTCCAGCAAAAGCCACAGATCTCGGTCATCCCTTCCCATCAGCCATTGTGCCTTCCTTTTCTCCTCTACAAGCTTGCCTTCAATTTTGTGAATGTAGAATAATGATAATGATAATAATAATAATAATAATAATAATAATAATAATAATAATAAACCTCCAGAACATGTTTAAAGTTCTGTTGTTGTCATGTACTCTGACTCTAGCGTTGGAGCCATCTGGGCTGAATAGACAACCAGTGGTAACAATTGGGTTCACTGCAATAGTGGTTTCCAAACCATCTACAATGGAGCCGTTTCCTTAAAAAACAAAAATTTACAGTGCATCTCAGCACAATTTATGCAAAATGCCATAAACTAAGTTGCTAGAAAAAATGGAATGAAGACATACACAATATAAATGGTTCGTTTTTATTCAATGAAAGGAACACAACAATTCTCCCTCTCTCTCTGAGCCTATGAACATTTTCTCAAAACTTACCATCAGTTTCTGCGCTGGCTGCATGCAGACCAGGGTCTCAGGAGTTGTGGGCCAGCTCTGAGCCACACAGCCCCCCTTGGAAGGATGGGTTAAACATTACAATGCAACAGCAAAGTCATACTGAGCCCAGGAACTGCCTCTGTAGCCCCTCCAGCATATCCTGAGACCCCTGGATGCTCCA